ACACACACACACACACACGCCCACTTTGTTGTTACTGTACATATTGTGCTTGTGTAACGGAGAATGCTTTTCACGTGTAGCCCATCGCTTAGCCGCAACGAATTGTCTGCTGAATTATTGAATAACCAAGTTTTCAATGGTCTATTTCTTTCTCGATCTCATTCGCTCTCTTGCATACATATGCACACACACACACACACACATGCTAACATATTGGCGCGCGCTCTTAATCCTCTTATCCTTCGTCAAACTCACCAATGCATCATATTACCTGTATCCGCAATCCGTTTGTACTAACATGCGCCTGCACAATTGCCCATCCGCACGACCAACCGCCCACTCGCCCGCCTGCTTGCTACTCTGCCGACCGCACCACAAACCATTTATCGATTCCTTAAACTACACGAAACTACATACATATTTTATTATGCAACAATGTGTGCTGCACCAACAATAACAACCCATATATATGTATATAATATTATACGTAAAACAACTAAATAGACTTACCACCAACTTCACCAATTTCCGGTTATTTTCATAGTCACGATGAAGAGCAACGGATCTTAGATGCGGATGAGCCGGAAGCAAGTGGTCAAGTGGTCACGGACAAGCGGCATCGGCATCGATACAAACAGTTAAAGCCAAAAAGTACTCACACACCAATAAGAACATCTATAAAACCGAAACCGAATGGTGCAATAGAAAATCAAGCAAAAGGCAGCAGATGCTTGGCGCAAGCAATTCGAGCGAAAGCAATTAAGCGTCAAACTAAAAAAGTCATATTCAAAGCAAAAACCGCATCAATCAAGCGCTTGAAAATGAGCAGCAATCTTGGTAGTGTGGCTTGCGGTGGCAAAAGTAATGTTGGTAGTATTGGTGCATACACCGGCACCGGCCCAGCTTCGAATTTAAATTCACGCAATTATTTTTCGCTAAGTCGACAGCCTCAGTCATCTCAGAAGCCACGCGCTAGTTTTCCTGAAATAAAGCAACCGCGTCTATCACTGAACGGCACCTTGCGACATTTGGTGCCCTCACCACGTCCGCTCTACCGCGATCACAGTTCACGTTCTACACAACCGTTGACGGCCAATGAGCAACAGATGGCTGAGTTAGATGGCAGTTTCTATGGCAATACGCTGGGTTGCTTCAGCAGCACAAGTGCTGGCGGCGGCAGTAAGGCGACCGGGGGCGGTGCCAGCAGTCGCGTTGGCTTTAGCGGTGGTAGTGGTGGTGAAAGCAATTCGGCCTTTCACACCACTGAGTTGTCGATTACGCCAACACTGACGGGTGATGAACAATTTATCGATTTGGGTAGCTTGCGGCGCTTTTCGATCGATCGGCAGAGTTTTCTCGGTAAGAGTTGAGATTGTTTAAATGTTTGTATTGTGTTTGGAATGGCTGGCTTTGGTGGAGAAGGGCGATGTTGTATCCATTTTAATATTCACTGATATCTAACATTTCATGTAGGAATAAAAAACTCCATTTTCATAATCATATAAATAAAAAAAGGAAGTGCGCCTGGGCCACACTGGAGTAGTGAAACTTACGGTACTTATCTATTTTGTCTCATAACCAATATATACTTACACACATCTGATTTTGCTTAAGGTTATGTTTTTTCTCTTTTTTTTTCTATCTAGATCCCAATCTCTACCCCTGTTCGTTTTAATAACATTCATGTTATTCTGTTTCTCCATTATCTTCATTTTTATCTTTATACTCTATCGATAACAAAATCGATAATAACGTGCAACAACGATAATAACGTACACCAACGATGACAAATTCGATACAAATTTCAATGGCAACATCGATAATACCATTGGTAGCAAAATAGATTGGAAAATTGATAAAAATATCGATAACAAAATCGTTAAATACCGATAACTAAATCGATAAATATCGATAACAAGCTCAATAAATATAGATAACATAATCGATAACAAAATCGATAAATGTCGATAACAAAATGAATAAATATCGCTGACAAAATCGATAAAAAATATCGCTAACAAAATAGCTAAAAATATCGATAACAAAATCGATAACAAATCGATAAAAATATCGATAACAAAATAGACAAAAATATCGATTATATCGATAAGTTCCGAAAATATCGATAGCAAAAATGAAAACAATATCGATACAAATTTCGATAACAAAATCGATAAAAACATAGATAGCAAAACCGATAAATATATCGTTTATTTTATTGATAAGTCTCGAGAATCCCGAAAATATCTAAAATCCCAAAATAGTTCCCAGATTGAGTCTCTATGTCTCTCTCTACATCATTTCCTCTTTAATTACCTTTATTTTCATCTTTTTCTCCCTATCTTCGTCTTTACTTTTATCGGTATCCTCATCCTCATCTTTGATTTTACTTTTATGTTCATCATTTTATTCATCTACATATTCCCCTTCACCTTTGCCCTTATATACATATATAAGTGTTAAAATTTACATTGGTCTACATTTTTGCCTTTATCCTTACGCATCTTTGTTTTTATAACCGAGCGCACTTGTGCACAAGGGTATTATAACTTTGTTCACATAACGGTTGTTTGTAACAGGCAAAACGAATCGAGATAGATATAGACAAATGTATACATAAATGATCAGGATGAACAGAGAAATCGATTAAGCGGTGACTGTCTGTCCGTCCGTTCGTCCGTCCGTCTGTCCGTCCGCCTGTGCACACGATAACTCGAGTAAAAATTGAGATATCTTAACGAAACTTGGTACGTGCACTTCTTTCGGGCGTAGGACGGATGGTATTGAAAATGCGCAAAATCGGACAATAACCACGCCTACCTCCCTTATAACGGTAATTTTCAGAAATACGAAAACTGCGATATTTTAGTAACTACTGAAGATTATTAACTCAAAATTGATATTTACAATAATTTTTAGACGAAAAATAAGAATGTTATAAATTTTTGAAAAATGGGGGTAGCCACGCCCACTTATGGTTACATGTGTATATCTTGGCAACCGCTGCACCGATTTCTTCCAAACTTGGCACAGTTATTGGCCTTGGTACAGTATACCAAATTTTTAAAATCGGACAATAACCACGCCCACATCCCATATAACGGTAATTTGGAGAAATACGAAATCTTCGATAAATCAGTAAATATTAAAGCCAATTTATTCAAAACTGATGCTTGCAACAATTCCTTACCAGGAAATACGTCTATAATAAAATGTTGAAAAATGGACGTGGCACCGCCCACTTATGATCACATATATGTATCTCGGTAACCGTTCTACTAATTTGTACCAAACTCGGTATTTTTATGGTGCTTGCTACATAAAAGCAAAACTATGAAAATGATTGAAATCGGACTAACATTATGGCTTTTCATATAACGGTAAATTTTAGAAAAGCTTGAAACGTCAATATTTTGAAACTTAAGGACGCTAATTTACTCAAAATTTATACACCCTGGCTTAGCATGTAGCGGTAGCTTTCGGAAAGGTGAACATCATATATTTAGTATTTGCGCCGGGTATTTAATGTTCGGCTCCGCCCGAACTTAGACTTTCTTACTTGTTATTTTTACCTTTGCCTTTATTCTTTTCGTTATCTATGTACGTACTCGCCTTTACTTTCATTCTTGTATTAGTCTTTGTCTAAGTGGTATTCTTTAACCCTTTATTAGCAAATTTTTGTTAAATTAATACCATGCGCATACACTCAAGAAGCACTTGTTTCAGCCCCAACCATTTCCGTTGCACCATTTCCGAGTGAAATTTCCGCTGAATTTGCCAATTTACTCCCAACCGACCAGTGGTTCCGAAATGGTTCTGAAAAAGTCGTTAATATTTCCCGAAATGATCTCGAACAAGCCTTGAAACATTCCGAGGAGATCGCTTACTAGTCCAAAACTAGTGCAAAAATTCTTCTGAACTATTGATTAAACTACTGAACCGGTCTCGAAACAGTTATATGGATACTAGTAGTGAGCTAGGCCTGAAATAAACCTTGAACTAGTGCACAAATGTTAATTTGAACAGAAAAGAAACAAATACAAATTTTCTGCTGAAAACTTATCATACCGGGTACTAAAATGTTTACGCATAAAAAAATTGTACCACTTATACATTTAAGTAAAGGTTTAGGAGCTTTTAAATAAAGCTCGATTTATTCTAAATGCTATTTTTAGTTTTTTAGCAACTAGTTCTATAAACGTTACACGCTGCGTCCATTTTCGAAGCATTGCCATTGCCTTCTGAGCGGCGACCGCTATTAGAAAATAATTTTCAGTTTCTTTTTTATGTTAGACAGGCAAGTGAGATAGATTGCAAGCGCTGCGGAATGGTAGTACGCACTTCTAACTACTAAGCACAAAACTGTGTATAAATCTTTTTAATTTAAACATCATTTACATTACTCCAAATTCTTATCTGATTCACAGTCATCAAGCTGTCGCTCATCATCTTAGTCCATTTTAATCCTAGTTTTTAATTAGGGTTCATTCCTTATGGTTTTGAATGACACTTAAATTTATTCCCCACTGTTCCTCCCATAGCTCTCCATACTACTCATCTCAGCTGCACCTTAGTCAGTATGCCTTTTGTGCCACTGAAATTCTCTCCAATTGAATGAGTCT